TATATTATGGACCACAGTGTACCACAAAGCCACATTCACTTTTATTCATACATTAAGAGTGTGTCCACTTTATTTCACCAACAGGTTGTTTGTGTATTGTTCGTTTTTGTCAATGATTATGGGGTTGTGATCGGAGCTGAGTGAGTCAGTCACTATCTTGGACGCATCTTCCTGAGGCCTTTTATCGTCGCGTCTGACGATTCAGCCGATTATTTCAGTTGAAATTCTTTCGTTAGCACCCGGCGCTTTCACCAAAAGCTCGACATTCATCAGTAACGCTTGAGCGAAGCTACGGCACGGATACATATGCGATCGGAAGAGACGAAACTGGTGGGGAAAAAGCCCTCCAGCAATGCTACCTGACTTTACCTAGTGCTATACCGTCAATCGCATCAATTGCATCCTGCACCAACGAAGTAGTGGGAGTCAATCCGCCTCAACCGCGCTCATCTTCAGCGAAAGCTCCGAAGCGCTTTTCCAAGTTCAGTCCGACAGCGGCACTGTTACCGAAAGCTCTACGGTTTAAAAGTCCCTCTTCGGTCACGCTGATTCTTTACGTAGAATAACTGTTCACTCACCGGAACGTCAGTTGCGATTTGTTGTTATGTAGTTGGGTCGTCGTGGTAACTTGGTTGAATCAATAAACTTTGTTCAGTTGCCGGCTTCATTTGCACTGTGAAACTTTGTGACAACCGAAAACTTTTCAGTGCTCAAATTCGAAAATTTAGTTCGCGCTTTTGAACAATTGTATTGGACATGACCGCCTCCGGTCACACCGTATAGTTTCCGCATAAACAATACCCGCATCATTGAAAGAAGAAGCAACAAAAAAACAACGAAAATGGATTTGTTCAGTTCAGTTTTCCTGCACCTTTTCATATTCGGCCTCCTGAGGGCCACCACCTGCTTGGAGATGCGAAATGGTGCCTACCAGGACTTGGTGATCAAAATTGCTGACAACGTTCCTCAGAACGAGTGCAGGAAATTTTTGGACAATTTAGAGGTAAGTCGAAGTGAAATAAAAACCGATCTTGGCGCCAAAAATTAAATTTACTCACTACTTAAAAAAACGAAAATGACAAAATTTTTATATTTACAACCGCGGAGCTTCGATAGGTCGATTATCAAATTTGCTAAGAGCCAGCCAGCTACAGGAAGAAGCGTCTGGCTAATCAATGTTTTCTTCATTGGAAGTTTAATTTTATTGCAGTTCTGAAATTTATAATTTTGTGTATACAATATTCTAGACGTCTTAAGACGTCTAAACGTTAAAATTGAAACAAAAAAAGGGATACTAAGTTGTGACAGGCATTTTCAGCATTTTCTGCTCATTTTATGAAGAGAATCCAAATCCTCTGCTACTAAAATATTCTAATACCTATAGATATTAAATTTTCTAATCAACTTGGCTTAAAATAACCGCAAAGTTAAATGAACTTAATTAACAACGGATTGTAATTCTCTACCACATTCGGTTTTCGCCTATTAAATTTAACTTCATCTATAATCTGATTAAAATGTGTCGCCTTTTTGCTTAAAAAACCGTTCGCACATAACGTTACATTTATTAAATAGGATTTATGTTTTCCTGGTAACTTTCTAGCATGTTAAATATTGAAATAATGCGAAAATCCTCTAGTTTCTGATATGAGTTTGTGGCCAAACCGCTCGTTGAACTCCGTTATGGGAAGACCGTAATTAAATAATGCGATTTGGGTGTTTTCTGTTACCATCAAACAGATATAGAGAAAAGTCCACATTTGGACTAATAGCACTAATTTATCTGAAAAAAAACACTAAATCAGAGTGAATGAATATCCCCTATAAGGCAATCTGTTTAAAAGCAACTTATTAATTGTATTTCCATAGACGAGTAAGTCTAAAGCGGGTCACAGCCTGGGATAAAGTGTCTCTAATATGTACGTAAGCGTAATATTTATTCAATTTCTAAAGGATGTTGTGATAAACCAACAAAACCGAACGTCCGTATTCAGTACGGTCGATTTAAATGAACTCGGAGATCCAATTAAACCACCGTTTTCTCATAGAATGAATAACTTGATTATGCCAATTAATTAATGGAATAATTACCACTGACTGTTCTTTTTTATTGAACAGTCTCGTCGGTCTATTGTATCTTGGCACAGTCACTCGAAACTACCAGCATAACTCTAAAAATAATCCGAGAGATTTATAGGGCTCTTATGATAATCTTGATAAGTAACACGATATTCGCGTTAGTGCCTATCTGTATTGATCAAACAAATTTTATTGAAATTCTTTACGGCAGGATTGTTGAAAGGAGTGAACGACACTATAAATTAATGCATAATGCTTTCTAAAGAAGCATTTAAAAAGACCTGCAAATTAGAAAGTTGGCCTTCGACTTATTGACAGCAGTGTTACTTGCAGAAATTCTAATAAATTGCAAGGAACCAATGAATAATTTGCTATTTTATTGTAGTTAGTAGAGTTGTTCATTAACATGGTATTGAGAATGATTAAGTTACTTGTTTTAGAATGAGAGCTTTATTTTTTCAACCAACGCCTCTATGATTCACTATAAATAAACTAAATCAATTTCAGCAGCAGTAGTTGAACAGATGGCGAGCTAATTTGGATAAATTTTGCTTCTTGTTTTCATATTTGTTAATTTTCCATCAGCTTTTCTGCTCCAGGAAATATATTGCAGGGGACAAATGTTCGCTTTTGCAAAACGAAAACAGAGCCTGTCAGAAACGTATTCTGTATGAGCATTTTTGTGCTCGTTAATTGTAATTAAACAATGTATATGCCTTTGAAAAAACCACGCATTGTCGCCCAAATTGACATTCCAAACAAAAAACCCAATTGACGTTATCCTTTTATCAAGCCTGAAATATAGTTGATTTGAGTATTGCAAATCCATGTTAATAAACTGCAATATTCTGCTGTCAATATTCGAAAAATGCCCAAACCATCCGAACATAAATTTGACGGCAAAGTTTAAAAAAAATCGGTACATTGTGCACTTGATGGAAAAAATCACGAAGCGTGTCAAACCGTATTATAAAAGTAGAGTTCCCCTTTCCTGCGGAATCTACTTCCGGCGTATACCGGGCGTGTCTAAATCCGGGGCAATCCTTAATTTTTGATAGCCAAACACGGTTAGATAATTTTGTTAGGCGACTATTCTTGTTCGTGTGCTTGGTGCATGACATTCAATTGTTTAATGGTGTTAAACACTTCGAATGAGCTGTTTTCCAATAACGGCTGAAATAGCCAATAATACATTTTGCAATTGTCTCTTTGTATATCTGATTTATGCGATAAAAACATTTCTAAAAAGAAGATATATGCTTAAAAGTGAAGTAAATAATGTAATTACATCCAGTTTATTCAAATTTATTTGAATCTAAAATCGACTAATTAAACGATAAAAATGTAAACCGGTTGCTTGCTTGGTCCCATCCTTGCTTCGAATATACCGCTTAAGAATTAAGTAACTGTAAAATTAACAAATTATCTGTAAAGCAATAAAGAAACGGTTTGGGAACGTTAATAAATGATTCCTAAAAACCTAAGACGACAAAATTTCTTGTTTTGTTAGACCCGCTGACACCTCTGACCTCACAGCATCATTGGACCTGGATCCCAAGAACTAACGGTATACAAGACCATAACACTTTCCACACAGAAATGATGTTCATAAAGCGCGACTCCGGCTTATCTTGATATTTACATCTTCTGTTATTTCATGCCTCGAGACTAGTAGAAATTTACAAAATTTATATAAATTAGCTGTCGGAATCTAAATTTTGTTTTCGTACTAACTTTACAAACGATTAAACTTAAATACACGACATTGACACAAAAAGACATTAGTGCTGATGGATCACAAAATGTAATTCCTTAGACGAGCATTCTGCAATTCAATTCGAAATGCTCTAAGCTTGAGTAATTAAAGCTGTTTCGTAAAAATCAGTAAAGTTTTATTAGCGAAGTTTTGCAAATTTTTTAAAGTTTCAAATTCCATTAAAAACTGCAGCATTTCCAACAACAAAACACTTTCGTATTTTTAAATGTTATTTCGATAATTTTTGAACAAAATATGTTTGTTTTCTTAGAAAGTATTACTCTTTACGATAGTACCGTAAATTATTAATTACTGTATCTCAGCCAAACGAAATAAATTCTTAAATGAATTGCCCTAAGACGGTAATTTGCATTCGCTGAGCTTTTAAACTGTCGCTAAAGCTGATATAAAAACATTACTTCGCACTTCTACGTAAAAGGAAAAACACTAGCAAAAGTATCCAACTTTAATGATGCCCATAAAAACAATTATAACTCGGAGGAAAGTCATAATGCTACCTCGTTCTGAGGCTTAAAATTCTTCTGGCGAAGATAACGTTTGTCACAGAAAATAAAACTTATTTACGAAGAAAAATTATTTGAAAATTTTTTTCTGGGAATGCAAAGGGCTAATCTTAAGCATTTTTCTTTATGGTGTCATTATTGTGTACACTCATTTCTTAGGGATATTTGTTCAGTGAGTCGACGGAAAATGAGCATCGGTACTTGAAGAGAAAATGATGATAATTACTGCTAAACATTTAGCACTTTCGTCAATGATGACTGGCCAATATTGGCGGCTGGGTTTAGGTTGCTTAACCAATGAATGATTAACAGTTGTGTTGGAAATACTTTTGAATGTACAATTGTTTAAAAGGAAGTAAGATTGACTCATACGTAGTTCAGCGAATATCCACCTACGCAAAACCTCAATGGAATACTAATTATATATTATACTTATTCATAGTTAATCATCTCAGCAGCTAAGCAAAGTTTTGGCAGTAGACCTTTCAGAATTACATTGGAAAAAGTAGAGAACTTCCTTAAGCAGTTCTAAATACTCGATTTGTATTAACGTTTTTCACTTTTTCTTGCATCTATGCAAATATCTTAATAATAGAGGTTTTCCTTTTTATTTAAAATAGGTAATTGTGTAAGAACAATTTTTCATATGATTACCATAATTGCCCGCAAATAATTATTGCAAATATTGTTATTTCCTGAAAGCCACAGAAATATTTCACTCCTAAGTAACCGGAACTGGATTTTAAGTAAGTGGAAGCTAATCGAATTATCTCGTGTTTAACGTAGATTGACATGGAAATGATAAATTTCTATTACGATAATGGCCCTGTTTTTAATTAAAGAAATGTTGGCAAATAATTTCGAGAGCGTCAATATTATTTTATGTTGCAAAAACTGCATTTTATTCAGGTTTAGCAAATGGTAGCAGGATACATTAGACCATTTATTATTTTCACATTATTTATATTCACAGTATTCATTGTTAATCACAAAGACTACGAAAAACCCATTAAGAACGCGTTCTTCCGTTACTTTCATAATAATTTTATAGTTTTTATATGTATTATTCTCATTATTCAAATGCCAAACGGAGATACTAGCCATAATTTTAGTACTTTCGCAAGCATGTAAAATCAAAGGTAAAATATTACTTCAAAGCTTATTGCTTCAAAGCATTAAAATGCGACAACATTTTTAAACGTTTCTGACCCATTACAGGATCTTAAATCCGATGCTGACCTTACGTGCTTAATACCGAAAAGTATATATTGAATTGTGAATTCAAAAATAATGGCTACCGGTTTTCAGTTGACCAGAACCGTTATTAACTCGAAGCTAATTCCAATCGCGTGCTCGACAGGAAAAAAGTAAATTTGTGACACCGAGTTTTTATTAATTAAATATGAACTTCGACTGACGTAAGCCGACATGAAATAACAGGGATTTTGTTTCGCTTTTTCGCCTTTTAATTGTTTATTAATTGACTTTAAATTAAATCAGCTACAGCATATACTTTCGTATTGTGAAATAATTCATATGTATTCTGTTGATTTTTGCCTAGAGATGAATAAATATAATCAAAATTATTGGTTTCAGGTTCAAAAAACTTTACAAAAATGCATAGTCTTGAATATTGGGCGAGTA